ATAAACGTAAGTGCTTTAAGTTGACCTATTTAGACTACATATATCTATAAGAAATATGCCTCAAATAGTTGCAGATGCTTAAGACAGTGTTGTAAAACGTCTAATGCTTAACTAAATGTCAGTAAATCCAATATATGGATAACTATATTTGTGCATACTTTTGGATGAATATAACAAAATGGATAAGATTCAGTTTTCTAAGCATGCGAGATATGCGCAAAGATCTGAAGATTATATAGAAATCTTTGATTTTAAATAATATGAACTCTTGGGTATACGATAGATAGACGATAGATAGACGATAGGTATACGATCGTTAGACGATAGGTATACGATCGTTAGACGATAGGTATACGATCGATATACACAAGGAATACATTAGCTATAAGATAGGTAAACGATAAGTATACGATAGTTATGTGATATGCATACGATGAGTGATGTAAATTGATGGACAGATGTGTTTATACAGATAGACAGCAGGACGAACAGACGGACGAATGGATATACGGACTGAGGACCAGATCATTTTAAGTTTTGATTTTTGAGAGAGAGAGAGAGGTAGATAGAGCGAGTCTCTGGCTTAGTTTCGATTAGCTCACCAAAATGCATGTCCAGAAAGGAAATAATACGACAACAGCTCAGTGGACGCTTAGTTCCAGGTGTGCACTTACCTGCAAATGAAAGAAAAATAAAGAATGGCAATTAGATAAAGGCATTAAAAAAGGGTAGCAAAGAAATTGCACACACACAGACACATACTTATAAGAAGGCCATCGATCAGCGTACAACAAAGCGAAATGCCGCCGCGCATTGTGTGTAAAGTATAAAGAGAGGCACACAAAGCCACAAAGCGAGAGAGAGAGAGAGAGAGAGAGAGATGAGATGAGAATGCATTCGATTGGCCGAGCCTCAATTGCATAAGTGCGAACTGCAATTAAGCACAATTCAATAGCGATTCAGAGTCAAGTGCAACAGACACTTGCAACTGTGCCACTGTGCAACTGTGCAACAATCAACAATCAGAGCAACAACAATGCCAGCTGTGAAAATTGATTAAGCTCATTCATCAAATCGAATGTGTGGCAAGTTCAGAATGCGCGCAGCAGCTGCACAGCCAATTCCCGATTTCCAATTTCCAATTGCCAATTGCCGTGGCAAGCAAATCAATTGTTGCCTAATGAAATTATGGCGGGGCGTAGCGAAGCGGGGCGTATACGCAATGCGGCTAGAAGGCTTCTCCGTATGGCGTGCATACGCAAATGTGCATTAAATATACACTCATGTGAGAAACAACGGCAACGAAACAACTTTCCAATGACCAGTTGACTGACTAACTAACTTTTGAGAGAGAGAAAGGCAGCGCCGCCGGGGCGTGGCCACAATTTACTTTATGCAGTTAAGAACGGCGACAACAACAATGCGTTTGCTTGTTCGCCAATGCACTCTGGGAGGGGGGGCACAATTGGAGCGACAGGGAGAGAGAGAGGAAGAGTCAGAGGCAGAGACAGAGAGAGAGAGAGAGAGAAAAAGGCAGATATGATCCAATTCAATTTAAGCGCGTGTCGCATGCAAACGACACAAACAGCAAATAGTAAATTGTTGTTGCTGTTGTTGTTGTTGTTGTTGTTGCTGTTGCTGTTGTACAAATGCAATTACAACTAAACACACAGACACGAAGAGTTGACGCCACCGCCAACGACGATGGCGACGATGACGACGACGACGACGACGGCGGCGGCGTCGCACTTTTTTTTGCTCCGCCCACTTTTCCCACACCCATTTTTACAATGACGACGCCGTCACGAAGAAACAACAGCAGAAACAACGTTTAAAAAGAGAGAGGATACAACAACAAAAACAGCTTCAAATTGAGCTACAAAAAATACAACAACAAAAGGCAAGCCGAAAGTTGAGATGCCCTAAAAGTATATACAATATATTGATAGATATGGAATGAAGTTGAAAAAACATTTTTTTAATAAAAATTATATTGTAAGCATACAAATTAAATTTTTTATTTAATTAAAAACATTTTTGAAAAGCTATAAAACTTCACACTACAATATATTTAAATAAAAAAATCTAAGTTAAATAAATAAATATTCAAAGGATAAAAATCTTAAAATAAATATATATAAATACATATATAAAAAATTAAATATTTAAGCTACAATAATCAATAACATAATTAAGCCATGAAACCTAAAAACAAACTATTTTATATATAAAATATATATGCATATATTAAAAATATAATATTTGAAAATAAAAGCGAATTCTTAAAATATCAAAAATATACAAAATATGAAATATATTTAAGGCATAAAATAGCTAAGCAAAATATTTAATATATCATAAAACAAATATATTAAAAATAAAATATATAAAGCAAATATAAAAAGTTTAAAATATTTAAATTATGCGCTTAAGAATAAGAAATATATTAAAGCTATAAACTACTTCAAATAATTATTTTTGTTTCCTAATAAATAAAGATAAAATATATGCAAGCCATAAACTATTTGAAAAAATTAAATAATAAATATTTAAAAATATTCTCTTGTTAAAATAAATATTTAAAAGATTAAATATTAAAACAGTGTAATATTAAAGTATATTATTTTAAATATAATATTAAACTAATAATATGGTAAATAATCAATAAAACAAAATTTAAGCCGTTTAAATAAATAAGATTTATATATTCAAGTAAAAAAATATTTGAAGTAAATAATAAGCTTGAACTATTTTATACGTTTTTTTATTTATTATTAAATTTAATGTAAATATTCATAGTTTTATTTTATATTTGAAATCTAGATTGTATAAAAAATATATAAAAAATATATGAATTTATTGTCATAATTTTAAATTATTTTAATTAATTATTTTATGTACATATTAAATAATTGTAAATAATAATTTGACTTTTTATATTTATTTATATATTATGTGCTATATACATTCACAAACTATTGTGAGCCGATTTCGATAAGAGTTCAGCTCTCCTTTTCCACTAGCTTTGCCCTTGCCACATGACATGACTTTTCATGCTTTTCTCTTAACCATTTTCCTATAGGCAATTGTAATTGAATCAAATTTATGAGTCTTTCTTTGCGGATAAGGTGTGTGAGTGTGTGTGTGTGGGCGTATGGGCGTGCAGCTAAGTAAACTGGGAAATGGGAAAAATGGGAAACTGGGCAGCAGAGCCAAATGCGATTCACACCTGAGCATCGTCTCTCGTCGTCTGTGTGCATTTATTTTACTATTTTTTGTGATCTCTGTGGTTGTTGTTGTTGTTGCTTTTTCTCTCTCGCCATTTCGTCTATTCTCATTCACATCTGTTGTCGTTGGCTGTCTGTCAGCGCTGACGTTGATGAAAAGCGTTGCGGCACTCGTGGGAAAATCGACGCTGCTCCTCTTGGCCCGCCCACCGCCCACCGTTCACAGCCTCAACCTGTGCGTCCCTACCCTTCGCTCATGTTGTTTGCCACGTTTGCGGTTCAAGCTGTGTGTGTGTTGCTGTTTTTGGGCTTTGCCGTTTCGTGTGGGCTGATGAAAAAGTTTCGCCGCAATTCGTTGCACTGCATTAAGCAAAGCAGTGCAACAACAACAACAACAGCATTCACAATGACACCAACAACAATTGCTAAGCGAAAGCAACGCAATTGTTGTTGTTGTCGCACCTGGCTTGCCTGCTGACTGTAAAAAAACAGATCGCTTCTACGCTGCTCTCTCTCTCTCTCTCTCTCTCTCACACACTCTCTTCCACTCATGCCTTTGCTACATTTTCTTATCGGCGAAAGCAACAAGAACACGCATTCAGTGCGCCCTGCGCTCTCTTCGCTTTTGTGTGTGTCTCGCCCAACCTCTTGACCCGCCGCCCATCACCACCCACCTACTGCTTATCAGAAAGCGTCGACGCTGGCGACGTCGCTGACTGCATATGCATTTCACATTTCACATTTCTAATTCTAAATCTGTTTTCATTTCCAAATTCTCATTTTATTATTTTTTTTTTTTTGTATTTTTGTCTGATAAGCGTCGCAGTCGATAGAGCTGTTTAAACAGCAACAACAATAACAAACCCCGAGCATGACAGATCTTAATTGTATACCCTATATATATATAGCATTTTCTAAAATATATCTATTAATATACATATATATTACATATTACTTTTTCTACTACTATTTTCATCTTTCTAAAATCGTGAAAAACAAACAAGTTCTAAACGAAAGTAACGGGACTTTTTCGTAATTTCATTCTTTACGTTCTGTTCTTGAAAAAAATAGAATCTTTTCAGTTTCAATCTGAAAAAAAAACCTTTTTATATGGTTTGTGTTGTGGGCACTACTATTTTTATGAACACAGCTGCATATATCTAAATATATTACATATATATTATAGTGTATATATATTCGCAAGCTTAAGTCGACATTCTGAACAACTTCAGTTATCGATAACTACTGACTGAACTGCACACGAATGCAGTTTTAGCAAAGATACAACTGAGAATCTTGAGTCAACATTCAAGATGAGAGCAGCAGCTGCCTAAGAGTCAATTTGGATGCTCTCTAAAGAACTTCAAGCAGTTGTAAATGATAGATGCTGCCACTACTATTATAATGATCATAAACTAACATATGCTTTGGAATAATTTAAATACAATTTTGTAGCATTTCGGAAACATTTACATACGATGTCAGTGTCTGTTACTTTTTCCAGAATTTTCATGAATTTTGAATATTATTTTTTAATATTTTTTTAAGAGCTCATAAAAAAACAGTACTTTATAGAGACGATTCCATTGATAGCCATAAAAAAGCAATGATGATGATATGAACTTGTGGGCCAAGAAGAGCGAGTTGAAACTTGATAAGTGTACTGCCATGCGTATACGTTATGTGGCATAGGCCATATAGCGTATACGCCATGTTTTTAATTAAGGTCTCGATTTGCTGCAATTCGCATCGTTTGCTATTTACTTGACTCACCCTGTTTGCTTATGCAGCAGGCAGCGACACACACGATAAAAATTTGTTGTAAACTACAAACAAACAAAAAATTATTTGCACAAATGTTGAAAAAAGTTCGTTCACTCTCTCCCACTCTCGCTCGCACTGGCCCTCTCTTTCTATTATTATGTGAAAAACGTGGCGTTCATTTCTTGTGCGCTACGCGACAAATTCAGCAACAAAATAAGGAAAAAAACAGAACAAGAATTAAACAAATGGGAAACACACGAAAAAAAAAGTTTAAAATAATTAAAGCAGAGCAGTTAGCAGTAGCTAAATTGCTCGCAATTACAGCAATAGCAGCAAAGCGCCAGGCAACAACGGTAAATGTGTGAACGGTAAACGGCAAACGGCACGGACTGCGCGTCCAAAGGAATTTGCGCATATGAACACGTAGACGCAATGCTGCTACGCTGACGCAAACGCAAACGCAACGCTGACGCGCGACGTAGACGCGGCGACGACGGCGGCGGCGCGGCAGGCGAAACGTTACACGAGCCGCCCACCACGACTCCTACAGCAAAGCCAACAACAACATAGTGACGCGTTTAGCCTTGAGATCGCAACCAGCAATATGCAGCTGGCAGCGATTGCGGGCAGCGACGCACGCGTTTCGCGCGCCTTTTTACAACGCACTGCCAAAGCGGAAATGGGCAATGGCGACAAAACAAAACGAAACAAAAACAATATAATTAAAGGAACTAAAAGAAAAGTGCGTGAGTTGCTGTTTGCTTTGCCGATTGCGGGTGGATGCGTGCGCTTCAAGTCGAGAACCCACTTAGAATGCAACGTCAGCGACGGCGACGACGACGACGCACACAAATAACTAACAGCGACTGTAGTAAAATGACAACTGAAACCGCAGGCGAAATGAAAACGAGTAACGACAACGGCGACAGCGACGACGACGGCGGCAGCGACGCTACTGCAGCTGGCTGCGCTCCGCGTTGGCGTTCAAAACGATTCTAACGCAGCGACGACGCGGTCTTTTGCTGCTGCCGTTTTTTTTCGCATTCTATTTTGCAAGCTTTTCACTTTTCGACGACGTCGCTGCGACAATTGCACTCGCATTAGATGTAGAGCGCACGCTGTGTGCTGAGAGCGCATAGTAAAAAGGGAGAGAGAGAGAAACAGAGAGCGAGAGCGTGAGCGTGAGAGAGCTGTGCGAATTTTGTGTGTGTGCGGAAGTGCAGCGGGTGACGCAGCAGCGTGCAAGGCCAAACGCGTGCGAAAGAGCCAGCGCGTGTGTGCGTTCGCGTGTGTTGGTGTGCGCCAGCCCATGCATGTACGTATGTATGTGTATGCATGTGTGTGTTTAGCTTTCTAGTTGGCAAGTGTAACTGATCGCATTAGACGTGTGCTGAGAGCACCCGTCGCGTCGTATGCATAATCACACTCTTCGCACAGCTTTCGAGAGACTGCAGCCGCCCAACCGTCGACCGCAGCCGCCCTGCGATCGGTCATCAGCAGCGCAATCGCATATTGCACGCGCGTGCCCTTGAAAACTTGACCCAAACGGGGCAGCAGCAATAGCTGCCAAAGCGTTCACGTTGCCATGCCCCACTGCCATCGCCAACTGGCATCACTATGCGCCTCCCGCCGCCCTCTATGCCACGCCTGTGATGTTTGCTCGCAAACAAAAGAAAGTGCACAAATTGTTAAAATTCTTAAAAATAAAACAAGTTCGTGCATGTGTGCTAAAAGCAAAACCGAAAAAAAAGCAGTAAACACAATTTTGAGAAAACGGCAAAACGCCACGAAAAGCTCGCATGTGTGTGTGGGTGTGTGAAAGCCAATGTTCAACCGTTTTCATTGCCAAACACAATTTTTATACAAATGCGGTGCGGTATTTGCTTTTTTTGTGCTTTTTTGCATAGCTATTTTTTGCTTAGTTGCGCAAATATTGCAAATACAGAAGACAAAATGAAAAGGCAAAAACAAAACCAAAACCCAAACCGAAATAATGCGCAAGCAGGCAGGCAACATCAAAAGACGCAAAACTGCATGACAATAGGCGAAAATGTAGACGAAGACGAAGAAGGAAGACGAAGCTAACGAAGAGCAAAGAGCGCGGAGCATGTGATGCGGTGATGCAGCATGATAGAGATAGAGTATGTGAACTAGTGCGAAGGAGGAGTGCGCGGCGAAATTGCAAGTGTACACTTCTCCACATTCTTGTGAATGCTCATGCACACGCATATACATACATACAAACAAACATATGTATATATGTAGGTATGTATGCGCTGAATGTACATGTTTGGGTAGCTGTGCATGTTTGTATGTAATCTCTGCGGTGTGACGTTTGCGGGAAGTGTGCAAATGGGCAGAAACTGATGAATTGAAACTAAATTTGATCAGCACGAATTTGATATCAATATACGAATCAAATTTTTCACATGAAAAACAAATCAAACATTTTTATCTCACAACGAATCACATACATACATGTACATGTATATATGTACGCACACACTTTTAGGTTAATCGACATTTGAACTGGCCGACACTTTAGAGTGTAGGGTGCAATAAGAAATTTCTATGCGGCGATCGTAGAAGCCAATTCGAAAGTGCAATATGTATATGTGTATATATAAACCAAATGCATATATACTTACATAGATAAACGTTCATACATAGTTTTATGTGCGCACGCTGCCAAAGTCGCGCCAATTGTAAAATGCTCAAGGTCGCGCGGCGAATGCACCTAACTGAACGGCAACAACAACAACAGCATCGACAATAAAAAGAGCAACAAGAACAATAAAATGGCAAGAACAACAATAGCAATAACAACAATGCAGCCCGCCCGCATACGCAAAATGTTTGAATGTTCTACAAATTGCAAACTAGTGTACAAAGAGCAGCAACAAAAACAATTTGCGCTCGTAAATTGCAAACGCGCCGCAGTCGCTGCCTCTGCCGCTGCCGCTGTCGCAGCCACAGCTACAGCCCCAGCCGACAGCAAATGAATTTCACTGTCAAGGTCGAGGAGCGTCGCTCGTTCTGATGCGCAACGCATTGCGATCGCTGCAGCTGAAGCAGCTATGGCGCGCGGCCCAGTGCGGCGGAGAGGAGAGCAAGAGCGATAGCGAGCAAGAGAGTGCGCGCGCTGGCGCGTGTGGGCGCGAACGCGTTCGGCATTGACGGAAACGACGCGCGGCTTATGTAAGCGCTGCAATGGAGCAGTTAGTGGCAGTGCGCGCGCTGTGGAGAGAAGCATCAAATGCATACGCACGACGTCGCGTCGCCGTCTCGACCGCTATGATTGCTGTTGTTGTTGTTGTTCCTTTTCGTGTGTATGTCTTTGTATGTGTGTATTTACATGCATATGTAGGTCTCAGCCCCACCCTCTCGCACACGCAGCATTTCCTGCAGTTTGTCGCTGCGCATTTCATATCGCGTCTGCTTTTTCGCCATTGTCGTTGTTGTTGTTGCTGGTGCAGTTATTGTTGTTTTGTGTATTTTGCAGTTCGCATGTTTTTCTATCGCCGCAATTGTTTTTCTCAAGTTCGTGGTTCTTGTGCAATTTGTTAGGGCGCCCCCGCACATTCCCTCCGGATCCGCACCCACACCCGCCCAGCCGACCCGCAGATGCGTAATAATTCACAAATTGCAGCGAGAGCGGTAAACAAAAACAGTCATAAATCAAAACGTTGCGACTAGCCGAGACTCGCGGACGCCACGCCCTGCACAGCCAGCACAGCGAGCGCAGTCATCGCCAACGCCATTGCCCAAAATGCAGACATAATTTGACATAAGCGATGTTAAAGTTCAACCACAAACAACATCAAAGGCAACGCGAAATAAAAAAGCTTCGATGATCATCAGCTGATGATGCCAGGCACTGATTGACTTAACTCAACGAAACTTGACGACGACGACGACGACGCAACGGCGGCGATAATGTCAAAGGCAGTCGCTGCTGCTGGCCGGACACCCCCCGAGCTTCGTCCCTCTTCGGCACCAGTTCTCGGTCGTTTAATCATGCTCAAGAAAAAAAGTGCAGCAACGTCGTCGTCGAATGCAGCGCCTGTCAAAGCTGCGATTAATCTCACTCGGAGAGCGCAGATACGCAGAGAGCGCGCCCAGCCTGAAGCACAGTGGCCATCAAGCTAATGAGCTAGGCATGAAAATGCACTGTGCGTAAATACCAAAAAAAGCAAAGTTAAAATAGTTGATTAAATATTAAATATAAATAAATAAATAAAATAATAAATTTATACATATAGAAACAAATATTTTTTAATGCATGCATTTATATTTTAAATTTTATTTTACTCATTTTAAAAAAAATTTACTGTTTATTTTTTCATAAAAAAATTTTTTTTGAATGAAATTTGTATTGCTTGGCCCACTGTGCCTGTGGTATACATAATTGAGATATGAACTTGGTAATATTTCATAAAAAGCCTGACCAGAGCGCTGGAGAGCTGGGTAACTGGGCAATCGGGAAACTGGCCAAGTGGCCAAGTGGGCAAGTGGCTAGCTGAGTGCTGATCGCGGCTTGTTCGTCTAGAAATAACTTAATTGTCACTCAATTACTCAGTTTTCAGCTAAAAGCATTCATTGCTCTGGCTTAACGTCAGACCCAAACGCCCACCGAGGGACGGAGGTGAGCCAGGTGAGTCCGGTCGGCCCGGTGAGCCAGTCGAGAACTTGAACTGGACGCTCTTCGTTACTCTGGTCCTTGGCTAGGCGTGAATAATAGGCGAGAGCCTGAATGAAAATTGATGACTTGCGACAGTTTTTGGCCAAAGGGCAAATGCGGCTAAAAGAAGCCACAAACAAAACAAAATACAAAAAAGAAATACATATGTGCATATGTATTTATATATATATATATATATATACACACATATATAGGAATATAAAACTGGGCACGGCCCAAGAAAAAAGACGCCAACTAGAATAGCATATAACAACTCTATATATACTCTATATATATATATATATATATATATATATATCTATATATAAAAGCGTTTGTCATGGCTTTCAGAGTTTTGGGCTAGCGAGTGGAGATGAGTTTCTCGGGCTGCATTCAGGGATTGCCAACTCAATGCAACCATCAATCAAATTTACTTGTTTGCCCCAGTGTAAACGCGTGCGTGTGTGTGTGGGTGTGGGTGTGGGTGTTGTGAGAGGTCGCTGTAAAGTTCAAAACCCATTTGCCTTTCTAGTGCGATATTTTGATTGACGCCTCAATCGAAATGGCTTGATTGAAGCTCTTAACTGGTTTCTGAACACTTTTTTAGTGCAAATTCTTTGAGATGCAAACGCTTGAAAGAATGCTAATGAGGTCTATTACAAATTGTATGCTTGATTGATTGATTGACTATCATAACAACGTCTCTAAATTATAAGTAATTGATTAAGAGTTTTCATTTAATTGAATAACATCTCATAATCATATTTAACAGTCTATAACTTGTTTGATTGACAGTGATTGAAGCGCATCTGCTAGTTATTTACATAGTTTATTGTAATCGATTTCAGTTTCAGACCCAAGCGCATTGTTTTCATAATTTTGTTAAGCAAGTTCCTTGGTATTACTATTGATTGATGATTGATGAATAGCTCGAACCATCTGTGATTGAAGTAAACAATTTAGTTAGGCATAAAGGCTACTTTGATTGATATCTGTCCCAGTCTGCGGCTCCGAGGAATCAATCAATCAATCTTGATGGATGTGTATCATGATTGATGAGCAAATTTTGGCATTTGTGATTAAAGTAAACAATTTAATTATTTAGAAGTTGTACTTTAACTTATTTGTATATGTCTTTCAACAAGTTTTCGTTGCTCAATCAAGATTGATGTGCAACGTGATTGAGCTAATTTCAAGTTTTTGAGCATATTGTTAGACATTATCTAACAGCTCCTCTGCTTAATGTATGATTGATGCCTGATTGACGTCAGATTGATGTAGTTTAACCAATTGATAATTACTTTCCACCCAAACTGCTTAAAATGTGCTTGAGCTGGCGTTGAAATTGTGCGTACATCATGATTGATGCAATTGCTGCATTGTCAACTGGCAGCTTGATTGCTGCTAGCCGCCACAGCATGGCCTCTGCGATGATGCCACACGGTTCACATGATGCCGCCGCACCACATAAATCCCAATCAAACAAGCAACAAGCGCAATGGAGCCGCTGCTCCAAGGGCTCCAGCCGTAGAAGCCGCCGAGCGTGCATCTATAAATCCATTAATGCCATTTACCGCATAAACATAAAGAAAACGCTCCACAAATTCCGAGCCTAACACTGAGCTAAGTCAGCGGCTGAGTTGCCATCGCCGTCTGAGGCATCAACACTATCAACGAGCGGCAAAGGCCTCTTCGCCTGGCCATCAGCGAGCGCTGCAATTGCTCCATAAAGTAAAACTAAATTGCTCAATAATTTTGTCCACATTTGATTATGTCTTTTTTTTTCCATTTTCTCTCTCTTTTTTGGCCAAGGCGAAGTTGGCTTTCAACTTCGACTCGGCGCATAAAGGAGGAGCGAGTGGTGCAGCCCTGCGAATTGCAGTCACGATTGTTGCCCGGCGAATGGGGCCCACAAATTCAAAACCCATAAAGACATCAAAGCAGCAACGCGTGTAACAATTTGCCAGCCAACCAACAACAACAACAACAGCAGCAACAGCAACAAATTCATGTTGCTGAACTGGCAAACGCAACAAAACGCAAATTAACAACGGCAACACAGAGAGAGGGAGAGAGAGAGATAGATATAGAGAGGGGGCGAGGGTGGCAGGCCAAGAGGGTACAGAAGACAAAGGCCTTAGTAGGAGTAGAAGAGAAACAGACAGACAGACAGGCAGGCAGACGGATGGACGGGGGCAGGCAAACTAAGACATAGACAGCTCGGGTCGTGGCGCAGCAGCAGCGGCAGCCTGTGGAGGCGCTGGCAACAGCGACCTGACCAAGGCATCCGCATCCGCACCCGCACAAGCAGCAGCAACAGCAACAAATACGAAAGCTAAAGCTGGCAGCTGAAAGCCTGAATACCCTTTGGAAAAGCCATAGCAGAAAGTGAGGCTTAAAACTTGAATAGAGCCAGAGTTATTATATGGGAGATACGAGCTTCGATTTATTATGATTTCAAACTGAAAGTCTCTAGAACTACAAGAAGTAGTTCAAAAAGCTGGCTAAGGTTACATATAACATATATATGATAACTAATGAGTAGAAAGCTGGAACAATTATAAAGATATATATCGATATTATGACTCTCAGAGCTCAAGAAAAGAGACAGCAAAAAAATATATATATATATATATATATAGATGTCTAACTGAAGATTTAAAAAAAGTTAAGAAAAAGAAATATATAACAAATTTTCCTAGCTTTCATAACTTTTCTATATATATAGTCTTATATAATTCTTAAGAACTTCTAGAAGAAGCTACAAAATACTAGAAAAATTCTACAAATATAATTAAGTGTGAGCATGTTTATATGAAAGAAAAGATTTTGAAATTTATATATATATATATATAAATAAAATAAAAAATAAAATATAATAATATATTATTTTTTATAGACAATTTTTTTAAATATATAATATAATATATACATATATGTATATATATATATAATATAAACATAAATATTATATATATCTTCATTATATATGCTTATTGCTTTTCTGGTTATCTAAGATATATATATATACATATAGAATTTTCCATATTAATAGACGACGAAACTCTAAAAAACTAAATTAAAAAAAATCTTTAAAGAGAATTTGAAGACTTTTAAAATGCCTAGCAATAGTTGCTCAGTGCAGCTCTAGCTAACTGATATCAGGCACAACTCCATGCATATGGTGTGGCTGTGTGGAAAGGGCATTTGCATAGGCGATCGAGCTAGTGTTTCAGTGGGAATTGGCTGATCGTAGCCCGGAGCCAAATGGCTAGTCCTAGACAATATGCGGAATTCTGTGTTCCCATAATTTGTGATAAGCGACTGATCGAACGGGCTTGGAAGAGCGCCCACCCACACCCCGATCGCTCGATCGTTCGATGGATCGATCGATCGATGATGATGATGATGATGCTGAAGCTGCCCTGGCGCCTTGTGTGCCGTTGGGGGCA